TCTGCTGCTGTGAAGCTTTTCAGGCCATCGGTACCACTGAAGCCCCAGCCCTAAAACCGTTGAGACTCCATCCCAAACCCTATAAGCTACACCCTAAAGACCCTAAAGACCCTAAAGCCCCTACAGCCCCTAAAGCCCCTAACAGCCCTAGCAGCCCTAAAAGCCCGAAAGCCCTAAAAGCCCTAACAGCCCTAAAGGCCCTAAACCCCTAAAAGCCCTAAAGCCCTACAACCCCTACAAGCCCTAAAGCCCTAAAGCCCTAGAACCCCTAAAGCCCCCAATAAGCCCCAATATGCCCTAAAATCCCCTAGAACCCCTGAAAGCCCTAAAAAGCCCGAAAAAGCTTAAAAAGCCCTAGAAAGCCCTAGAAAGCCCTAAAAAGAACCCTAAGAAGCCCTAAAAAGCCCCAGAAAGCCCTAAAAAAGAACCCTAAAGCCCTAATCACTCCAGGAGCTGCCAGCCGGGCCAGGCGGTCTGCGCAAGATCGTCGCCAACGACTTGGACGGGAATGCCGTCGCATCACTGGCATGTTATTTTCTTTGTTCTTATTCTTCTTCTTATTATCATTGTTATTGTTATTGTTATTGTTATTGTTATTGTTATTGTTATTGTTATTGTTATTGTTATTGTTATTGTTATTGTTATTGTTATTGTTATTGTTATTGTTATTGTTATTGTTATTGTTATTGTTATTGTTATTGTTATTGTTATTGTTATCATTATTATTATTATTATTTTTCGTATTATTACTGTTCATATTATGATGATTATGATCAGGAGTATTGCTGTTACTATGGTTATGTTGATACTATTGTGCCTTTTTTTGTACCTTTTCTTTTTTGTGGGGGGTGGGGTTGGCATAGGGTTTGTATGGGGTTTAGGGTTTCAAGGTTGCTTTAAAAAACATTTTGGGGCTTTCAAGTCGGGTTCACGCCCTCAGCATCCTTATACCTTGGGATGTTCCCCCTTATACTAAGAGTCCTTGTAGGGATGAAAATAGGGGCACTAGAATCCCCATTAAGGACTGAACATCCCAACTTACACCCTACTGGAGCTTTGCTCTGGCAACCCTCAAGCTCGGTTCTCAATGTTTGGGGTTTAGGGTTTAGGGTTGAGGGTTTTGGGGTTTAGGGTTTAGGGTTTGGGGTTTAGGGTTTAGGCAGCCTTAAGATACAGTGGCTCAGTGGGATTCTGGGATGAAATTGCGGGACCCGAGGGTTTCCGGAGCTGGAGCCCAAGTTTGCTCCATCTTGGCATGGTTTCATGGGGTTCCCTACTACCCCCCATACTTTTCTACCCCTTGGTTTGCGCCATTTAGGCATAATTCAGCCTAGTTACGGTTACCTAGGGGGCGTAGTATAGAGGGGGGCTAGTAGGGAAACCCATGATGGTTGGGTGCAAGCCGGGTGCAATGGCATCCTACACACCAGGGTTGCACTCTGCCTGGAACTTAACCCAGAAGCCTGAACACTATCCCAAAACCCTCTCAACCCTCTCAACCCTCTCAACCCTCCCAACCCTCTCAACCCTCCCAACCCTCTGAACCCTCTAAACCCTCTAAACCCCCTAAACCCTCTAAACCCTCTAAACCCCGTAAACCCTCTAAGCCCTAAACCCTCTTAAACTCTAAACCCTAAAACCCGAAAACCGTCCCCTGAAGTGTCAATGCCAGGCGCACATGAAGCGGAACTTCGCCCACAACGGCTTGACGGATCGCGTCGAGGCGCCTGGGCTTAGGGTTTAGGGTTTGGGGTTTGGGGTTTAGGGTTTAGGGTTTTGGGTTTAGGGATTGGGGTTTGGGGTTTGGGGTTTATGGTTTAGGGTTTAGGGTTTAGGTTTTAGGGGCGCCTGGGCAGTGGATCTGTCGATCTGTGGTTTACGCCACGGGTTCTTCCCAAAAAGGGAAGTAGGATGAGCGTTTAGGGTTTAGAGTTTGGGGTTTAGGTGTTAGGGGCTTAGGGAAGTAGATGCCCAATTGAGCGCATAGAATCCCTCAAGGGGCTCATGGCTCTCAAAAGTGGAAGCAGGGAAGTAGGTACCCCATTATCCCAAGGCTTAGGGTTTAGGGTTTAGGGTTTAGGGTTTAGGGTTTAGGGTTTAGGGTTTAGGGTTTAGGGTTTAGGGTTTAGGGTTTAGGGTTTAGGGAAAGTTGGGTTTGTGGCTGTTGCGCGGCCGACACTCGAGCCGATCGGCTGAGAGCCGATGGCACACATCATTCCATGCAGAGGAATTGTGGCATCCTGAACTCACTGGGGCGTTTTGCATGGAACGGCTCATGCGTGTTTAGGGTTTAGGGTTTAGGGTTTAGGGTTTAGGGTTTAGGGTTTAGGGTTTAGAGGTGCTTGTTGCGTTGTACAACCTGTGTCACGATGAACACACGGCACGGCACTTTCCAAGCCTTTGAAAGTTCTGCAGAGAGCCGCTAGCCCCAAGCGTTGTGGTCCCTCCTTGGCTCTAGGTTTAGGGTTTAGGAATTAGGGTTTAGGGTTTAGGGATTAGGGTTTAGGGTTTAGGGTTTAGGGTTTAGATTTAGGGTTTAGGTATTAGGGTTTAGGGTTTAGGGTTTAGATTTCAGGGTTTAGGGTTTAGGGTTTAGGGTTTAGGGTCCAGGGTTTAGGGTCAACCCGCTAAGAGTTTCGAGCAGCAGTGCATCTGTTTGCCAAGTAGTCCGGGACGAGGCACACACTCTCCTGACCATGCACCCTGTGACGTGCAGCAACTCAAACCCAAACCCCTAAACCTCTAAACCGGAAACCCTGAACCCTAAACCCTAAACCCTAAACCCTAAACCCTAAACCCTAAACCCTAAACCCTGAACCCCAAACCCTAAACCCTAAACCCTAAACCCTAAACCCTAAACCCTAAACCCTAAACCCTAAACCCTAAACCCTAAACCTTAAACCCTACCACCTTTCAACGCCTGCACCCTACAACCCCAAAGCCTCAAACCCTAAGCCCTTAATCCCCATTCCCGTCCCCAGGCCCATCATTGTTTCACGGTACATGCTGTGGAGGTTGCCTAAGAACGCTCTAGAGGGCGCGACGGCGAAGGGTTAAGGATTTATAGGGCTCAAGCGTTTCGGGTTTAACGGTTGAGGGTTTAAGGGTTTAGGGTTTAAGGGTTTGAGGGTTAAGGGTAAAGGGTTTAGGGTTCAGAGTTTTATTACAACCCGCGTTGAGCTTTGAGATGTTAGAGCCGGGAGCAAACGCATGGACTGAGAGTTCAGGGTTTGGGGTTTTAGGGTTGGTCGTGCAGGCAGTCAATGGATGCGCCAACGCGCACATGTGCCCCTGTGTCCTGCTCTTCCACCCCCAAGACCTGTAGTCCCTGAGGCCCCCAAGCCCTAAAACAAATCAACTCGAACGCCCGAAGCCCCAAACCCCAAACCCCAAACCTTAAGAAACCCTAAACCCTAAACCCTGAACCCTGAACCCCAAACCCTGAACCCCAAACCCCAAACCCCAAACCCCAAACCCCAAACCTTAAACCCGAAACCCTAAACCCTAAACCCTGAACCCTAAACCCTGAACCCTGAACCCTAAACCCTAAACCCCAAACCCCTGCCTGGCGTGCTGCTGTCCTAAACCCTAAACCCTGAACCCTAAAGCCTTAACCCTAAATCCTAAACCCTAAACCCGAGCATGGAAGCGTTGAGGCCGCGCTTCAACAAAACACGTGCACACTCAAATGAAGAGCCTCCTCCGAAGCATGCGACTGGTGCAGGGCAGCGTCCTGCTCACCGACGGAGCCAGGTTCAACATGCGCGCACACATGATTTCGCTGCATGATTGGATGGGCCTCCGTTGCTGTTCGTCACGCTGAACCCCGCAGATGTCTGCCATCCATTCACGTGGCGCTTCGCCAGGGGCCCGGACAGTTTGCGGAACTTGCCATGTGAGCCTGCTGAGCTGCTGAGTGTACTCGCTGGAGCCGACCTCGTGGCGGCTGTGTGCGCTTAAGCCCTGTAATCTCTACACATCCCCAGAACGTTTCAAGTTTAGGGCCCTTCAAGCACCCACCCCAAAACCAACGCCCAAACCCCCTAAAGGGTCTAGGGTTTAGGTGTTAGGGTTTAGGGTTTGGGGTTAGGGTTTAGGGTTTAGGGTTTGGGGTTGAGGGTTTAGGGTTTGAATTTAGGGTTTGGGGCTTGGAATGTTTGGAAGTTTTGGAAGCATACGTAGGTTTCAGGGAAAGCTCGAGCCCTCAAGCCCCCTATAGGCCCTTTGCCAGATATCCCTCAACACCGGCCACGAGTGCCTAACGCGGGGCCGACACCAAAGGGTATGTAGTTGTTTCCCAAGAACTAAAGAACACTAAGCCGTAAACCCTAAACCCTAACAAGTAGTTGTTTCCCAAAAATTAGGGAACCCTAAACCCTGAACCCTGAACCCTAAACCCTAAACCCTAACGCCTCCCCCCACCCCATCGCTTTTTGGGAAGCCCCAGAGGTGGCGTGTTAGGACCTAGACGTTCGGACTTAGGGCTCTTTGCTTCGGGCTCGTGGACCGGGAGGTTTTGTACGTGGCTTTAGGGTTTATATAGGGTTTAGGGTCAGGGCTAAAGCCGGGTTTAGGGCGTAGGGTTTCTGGTTTTGAGCTTAGGGTTTGGGGTGCTAAGGCTGTTGGGCTGCAGCCTTGTTAAGGGCACTGACGGGGGGTCAGGCTTCAGCAGTCTGCACAAAGAGCTCCCGGCTTCAGCGCTACTGTGGGTTTTCGATATTGGGGGTACATTATTGGGCTCCTTATCATTTCAAGGGGATCCTACCACTTGGGGGTCTAAATTGGGGATCCCTTATTCTCGTAAGCCCCCCAACTGGCTTTCGCTAGAGCTACAGCTTCTTTTCGGACTTAAGCTAAGAGTTTTTGCGTTTCTGCGTTTCAAGTCGCAATGCGAAGGCAACAGATCACACCGGCCCGCACTGAAGGTCAAGCGGTGTCCCCTATACTACCCCGAGGCTCCCCCCCGAAGGGCTAATGTCCGCAGCTCAAACCACGCAGCGATGTCGACTGACGAGGGCTCCATCATCCAGCGTGTGGAAGCATTGGAAGCCACCATGGAGCAGGTGGCAACGGCGCTCCGCAATCTCGAAACCAGCTTCGCAGCGCTGAACCGCTCGTTGCGGGAAAGCCTAATTAAGGAACCTACAAGGGTAGTATAAGGGGGGGTAGTAGGGAAACCCATGAAGTAAACGATACGAACCCTAAACCCTAAACCCTAAACCCTAAACCCTAAACCCTAAACCCTAAACCCTAAACCCTAAACCCTAAACCCTAAACCCTGAACCCTGAACCCTGAACCCTAAACCCTAAACCCTAAACCCTAAACCCTAAACCCTAAACCCTAAACCCTAAACCCTAAACCCTAAACCCTAAACCCTGAACCCTGAACCCTGAACCCTGAACCCTAAACCCTAAACCCTAAAGCCTAAAGCCTAAAGCCTAAAGCCTAAAGCCTAAGCCTTCAGGTACACGCGCCGGGCGAAGGGCTTCGGGGGCCTTGGCCAGGAAGCGCCAGGAGCTGAGCCGTCTGGGGGGGTTTTATGGGGCCTGGGGAGGTTTAAGGTTTAGGGTTTAGGGTTTAGGGCTTAGGGTTTAGGGTTTAGGGTTTAGGGTTTAGGGTTTAGGGTTTAGGGTTTAGGGTTTAGGGTTTAGGGTTTAGGGGTTAGGGTTTAGGGTTTAGGGTTTAGGGTTTAGGGTTTGGGGAGGTTTGGGAGGTTTGGGGGGTTTAGTGGGGCTTAGGGAGGTTTCAGGGGGCGATTGGGGTTAAGGGATGTTCCCCCCCTTATTCTAACAGTCCTTAATGGGGATTCTAGTACCCCATATTATATTCCCGAACACGGACTGTTAGAAAAAGGGGGAACATTTCGTTGTTGAGATTCTTCAGGGTTCAGGTCTGGGGAAAGCTTCGTGGAAAGTTTCGGGGGAAGTTTCGGGGCAAGTTTCGAGGAGTTTCCTTCTTAACTTTTGAACCACATCAAGTTACAAGGGGTCCAGGGTTTTGGGTTGAGGGTTCAGGTCGGGCTTATGGTAGTTTGGGGGTTTATGGGTACAGGGTCTAGGGCTTGATATGGGTTTTTCGTTTTTTCGGACGTTTCGGGTTTGGAGGGTTTTTGGGGGTCTGGGGCCTTTTTTTCGGGTTTGGGGAGTTTGGGTTTCTAGGGACCTTGAGTCGAGGGTTTAGGGTTTAGGGCAAAGCCCCAAACCCCTAAATCCTAGAGCTCTGACCCTAAAGCCCTGAAAGCCTAAAGCCCTAAACCCGCAAGACTCTTGCAAGCGCTAAGAACCATAAGTCCTAGCGGGCCTAAGCTTGGGAGCCTGCCGACCGCAAGGGGGCAGAAAAGATAGCGGTAAGAGTACCTCTTCGCGAGTAGAAGCATCGTTTCAACCATAGAGACTGACCATGAACCCTAAACCCTAAACCCTAAACCCTAAACCCTAAACCCTAAACCCTAAACCCTAAACCCTAAACCCTAAACCCTAAACCCTAAACCCTAAACCCTAAACCCTAAACCCTAAACCCTCAACCCTAGACCCTAGACCCTAAACCCTAAACCACACTAGCCCTAAGCCCTAAACCGTCAGCCGTAAACCGTGCACCCTGTAAACCCAAAACGAGGCCAACCCAGGCCCACGCTAGCCCCTATATAACCCCCCTATATATCCCTCAAATAGTCCCGATATACCGAAGTAGGCCCCAAATCACCCCTAAAGAACAACCCTAAACCCTAAACCCTAAACCCTAAACCCTAAATCCCTAAATCCCTTGGATCCAGGTACGACGTGATCGACCTGGATCCCTACGGCACGGTAGCGCCGTTCATCGACTCGGCCATCCAGGCCGACCAGGGCACACCCCGGTATTGTCATCTACTTGTCATCTACTTCTGTTTGGGGCGGGTGGGTGGGTTGGGGTGAGTAGGGTTTAGGCCTTAGGGTTTAGGTTTATAGGGTTTAGGCTTTCGGGTTTAGGTTAATAGGGTTTAGGTTTATAGGGTTTAGGGTATATGGTCAGGGGTCAAGGGGTTTTGCCCCCCACGGAGCCAAGAGGACCTTCTTCGTGGCTGTACCTATAACTTGGGATGTTCCCCCTTCTACTAACAGTCCTTTAATCGGGAGTATAGTACCCCCAATTATAATCCCTATCAGGGACTGTTCGTGTAAGGGGAACATCCCAGCCTACTAGTCCCCAATGCACCTGATCCGAAACCCGCAAGAGAGCCTTAAGGGATTTCGACTAAGGGTACTTAGTCACCAAGGAAAAGTGTAGTGATGACCCACTGAAAAGCCCCTCAAGTACCGTAATAGGGCAAGAAAATGGGTTATAAGTACAAATATAATTGGGTGACTAAGTACCCTGAATCTCCAAGTAGGGCACCTTCTATTCAGCCACTATTTCTGCACTTGGGGGGCCGATTTTAGGGTTTAGGGTTTCGGGGTTTAGGGTTTAGGGTTTAGGGTTTAGGGTTTAGGGTTTAGGGGCCCCCAAACCCTACATTGCTTCTCCCCTTTTAAAGAAAGGCCGTGGCGGATGGGGGCCTGCTCTGCATCACCTCCACAGACATGCCGGCGCCAGCACAGAGATCGTGTCTTCTTGCTTTTGGGTTTGGAGCTTTTTTGGTTTAGGGTTTGGAGCTTTTAGGGTTTAGGGTTTAGGGTGTAGGGTTTAGGGGTTTCAGAGTTCGGTGTTCAGGGCCCTTGGGGGGGATAAGGAGGTCTAGGGTTGAGGGGCCGCTTTTCAGGGTGCAAGAGGCTTAAGGTCGAAGCTGTCTCGGGCTTTTCCCGGGTTTCAGTATTTAGGTTGTTGGGGATAGGATGCGGTGGGAATCTCCTTGTGTGGGACGCAAAGGGGCCCTCCCCTAAGTCTGTCCCTGACGAAGTGTAGGACCCTAAGCCCTAAACCCTAGGGAGCACGGTGCCGAGCTGATAACTTCTCCATCATGTAAGTCCTTTGGGTCCGGGAGGATCTTGAGGCGGCCTGCTTCAAACAGATAAGTTCTCCAGATCCACACGTAGCGTGTAGGAGCATGTGGCTTTAAAGGCCTCGAGGGGGGGCACCCCGAACTGCCCCGCCCAAGTGGGAATGGGAATGGAGGGGAATGCCGCAGCGAGGGGCAGAGGAGAGAAGGAAGTGACCCGAAAGGCCGCCAAACCCAGCTATCCCAGCAAGCCTGCGCGCACACAGAGGCACCATGGAGCAACACGGTCAACAGAGACAAGCGCAAGAAGACCCGAGCCGAAAACAAGCCAATCCCGTGAAGTTGCAAGAAGGCGTTTTTGCAAAGGTTTGTAGCAAGAAGGAGTTGATATTCCGGTGATCGGTGGTCGGTTTTGGAATTTCGCGTCTAGCATGTTCTTCGGATGTAGGTGGACTGCAGGAGTTTAGGATTAGCAGATTTTGGTCTTAGGGTGTAGGGTTTAGGGTTTAGGGTTGAGGGTTTACGGTTTACGGTTTAGGGTTTAGGGTTTACGGTTTACGGTTTAGGGTATATTTGCCGCCCATTCGGCTGTCAGCGAACATGTTCCCACTGCGTTTGCTTCTCCAGTTTTCTTGTCACAGTCCAGGGCAGTTAAGCCCGAACCCTAAACCCGAAACCCTAAACCCGAAACCCTAAACCCTAAACCCTAAACCCTAAACCCTAAACCCTAAACCCTAAACCCTAAACCCCAAAACCCCTAAACCCTAACCCCTAACCCCCCCAAGCCCTATGAACCCCGCACTGCCAAGTCGCAGGTGCTCGGTGGCAACCACCCTGAGACCTGCTTTGCGAGGTGGCTCCCAAACATGCCTTGAGGTTAAGGGTTTAGGGTTTAGGGTTTAGGGTTTAGGGTTTAGGGTTTAGGGTTTAGGGCTTAGGGCTTAGGGCTTAGGGCTTAGGGCTTAGGGCTTAGGGCTTAGGGCTTAGGGTACGGGATTGCCTGGTTCTTAGTATGCCTTGAGCAAGAGTGGGATCCTTGGACCCTCTTTACCTACATTATTATGGGTTATACCTACTAGTTAAGGCTAGTTTCGACTAAACTGTAGGTATGGAGAGTCCCAGGATTACCTACTGGTTCTTAGTACGGAAATGAGGGCATGATGGGTGCTTTATATCCCCCTGTAAATCCTCCTACATAAACCCTTCAACAGAGATTCTGTAAGGTACCTAGGCCCCCCATTCCCTACACAGAACCAGTAAGAAGAGTCGTGTTAGGGTCAATCAAGGGTGTAGGGGGGAGACCCCAAAACCTCGAACTTTCTAAAGGTCCCAAACCCTTAAGCCTTTCAACCTTTAAAGCCCTTAAACTTCAACCGGAAGCAGTGGTCTGTGGCTTCAGGATTCGGTATTAAACCTGACCCATCGTCCTTGATCTTGACCGTCGACGTCGGTTCGATGTGCGGGTCTACCCTGAGTCCTATCCACCCTAACCCTCGTTCCCTTTTTGTTTAGGAGGGGCGGGGGGGGGGGGCGGAAGGCTCCTTTCTTCACCTCGTTGCCAAAAAGAACACCCTTAGGAGCGACAAGGGGTGAACAGGGAGTTGGGTTTTTAAAGCTTTGGTGGAGGTTGGTGGCTGCCCCCCTAAACCCTAAACCCTAAACCCTACATTCCTAAACTCCTAAACTCCTCTTAAACTCCCAAATTCTTAAACCCCGAACACCTTTTTTGCGCTGATGTGCAGATATGGCGGTGCTGCGCTGAAAGCCGGCTACGCAGGGCCCCTAGGGGCTTCCGGGCCTGCGGAACTAGGATTTGGGGTGGGCTGCAAGCTTTCGGGAATTCGGGGCGCCCTTCCACTTCCCAGTTCTTCACCGAGAGCCCCCACACGACCCAGATCCTGGTTTAGGGTGTAGGGTTTTGGGTTTAGGGTTCCGAAGCTTCTTACATCCTAAACCCCGAAACCTCGCAGAGCTCGAAACCCTCGCGAACCTCGTCACAACCACAGCTTCCTGCTAAACCTCCTGAAGCTCCAAGCGCTGCCAAGACTCCTGAAGCCGTGAACTGCAGCCCTAAACTCTTGCACTTCTCCCCAAACCCTAAACCCTAGAAGCCCTAAACCCAAATCCTGCACCCTCCCCCCCCAAAAAAACCATCGAGCAGCTCGCCAACTGAAGCTCCAAAACTCCCCAAAACCAGGACCGGAGTGTTTTTTTTTTTTTTTTTTTGGGGGGGGGGGGGTTAGGTTCCCGTAGAATGCACCTTTAAAGCCCTAAGCCCTAAGCCCTAAGCCCTATGCCCGAAGCCCTAAACCCTAAACCCTAAACCCTAAACCCTAAACCCTAAACCCTAAACCCTAAACCCTAAACCCTAAACCCTAAACCCTAAACCCTAAACCCTAAACCCTGGGTCTAGAAAAGATCCCATGGCGGCCCAAAGTTGAGAGGTCCACGAGATGGCGCTGCGCCTTGCTGGGACCTTGGAAGGGTCCTTCTTCTACCACCAACATGTAGTCGGGTTTAAGTTTAGGGTTTAGGGTTCAGGGTTTCGGGTCTGTTGTTTCGGGTTTAGGGTTTCGGGTTTAGGGATTGTTGTTTATATATATATATATATATATATGTGAGATGAAAGGAAACATTAAGCAGTGGGAAGTGTAGTTTCTACTGCCAGATATAGTAGAATGTCCCTTAGCAGGACCCTCAAAGAGGCCCACATGGGACATTTTGAGGTTCCGGAGTGGGCAGGCTTGTCCTCACAACAAAGGGGGCGAGATAGAGGACAGCACGGGCGTGTGCGTGCAACTATGCCTCCGGCCACAGTGGAAAGGAAAAGGGCTCACTTTGTCTGGGAGGCCTTAAAAGGCCGGCCTTGGGCCTCTCGATCGAACCGAAGTGACTTCAGACCACCATTCCCGGGGTGTCAGCAGCAGCAGCGGCAAAGGGGGATCCCCGAGCCCCAAATCCTACTGTTCCATTGGGATTCTCGGGATATCTGGCAAAGGGTTTTCAAGGGTTGGTGAGATTTCAGGATGTTTGTTCAGGGCTTGGGTCTTGGGGCTTTGTAGGTCCTAGGGCTTGCAGTGTTTAAGGGCTCCAGGGGTGTGAGGGTGTTTTGGGGGCTTTGGGCTTTGGTTTTCGAGGGCAAAAAGATGGCGTTTTGCATGGAGGTCTGGCTACCCTTTGGGACTACTACTAGGACCCAGAGTTGGCCCTTATTCCATTTTTTTGGAGGGTTTACGTTCCCTTCGAAGCCCCTTTAAACCAAAAAGGGCACGCTCTTAATTCCCGGGCTATGAGGGTTGAGGGTTGAGGGTTGAATTCCGACAAGTTAGGGTTGAGAGCTATAGGATCCCGTAAGAGTTGGGACAGGGTGAGGGTGTTAGGGGCCAAGATCCCATCACTCAAGTTTGCACGGAAGATCTCGAACCCATTCCCCTCCTCCGCCCCCTCAACCTCCCACGTAGGTTGAGGGTTTAGGGCCCCAAACCCTCGACCCTAATCCCTCCACCAACCTGGCGTTCCCTAAACCTTCTAGATCCGTATCCCCTAAACCCTAAACCCTAAACCCTAAACCCTAAACCCTAAACCCTAAACCCTAAACCCTAAACCCTAAACCCTAAACCCTAAACCCTAAACCCTAAACACTAAAACCCTAA